TTTATTTTTTCCCCCCAAAGCTCCAGTAGATAGTTGTATGTCATAGCTGCACATCCTTCTAGTTGCTGTATGTGGGACTCGGCCTCAGGATGGATGGAGAAGCGGTGCCTCGGTGCGCGCCCGGGATCCGAACCCGGGCCACCAGCATCGGAGCGCGCGCACTCAACCACCAAGCCACGGGGCCGGCCCTCTTTTCATTCTTATTTTACTTAATTTGCTTGGTTCAAAATCATAATTTATAATCACTCTGATACCAGTGATCTCTCCATCCTACCATGATTCTTTGTCTGGAAACTGCTGCCCATTTACCGTTTGTCCCATCACTGAAACTGTGTGTGCGCTCTCTTGTTGATTATTTTTGTGTGTATTCTATTTTTTACTGTTTACTATAAAAACTTTGCGGACAAAGATCTTGTTACATATCTCTTGGTACCACCAATCTTTTATGGCAATAGTATTAATAAGACCAGACTTTCAAGCTCAATAATTATTAAGTAATGTAGTATCTGGCATGAAAGTTACTTAAATTCAAAGTTCAACTTTGGTTATTCCTAACTGATGCTTTACGTTGTCCTTTTCTGGAAATAAGAACCTATTTCTTAAGGTTCTTGCTGTCCTATTGTCCCTTGCTCCTATCATGGGATAGGAGTTGAAGAGGGGAAAATAGACGGCGGAATATTTGTGCTTTTGAGTTAGACATACATGACTCCCTGGATCTACGTAAATTTTCTAAAATATGACTCTTCTCCACCTCTTAGTAATGCTGTCCTAGTCCCCTGTTTATTTCCTTCACAGCACTAATCACACTATGAAATTGTTCTGTTTACTTTATTGTTTGTTTCTCCATCGGGTACCTTGTGTGTCTTATTCCCTGTTGAATTCCTAGCACTCAGCTCAGAGTTGGGCATGTAGTATAGCTTCAGAAATATTTATCAATTGAAAGTATAATGAGAGGCACCCTCAGGCTTTTGAACATGGAATACCTGCTTGGAATTTCCCAGGCACTCTTTCCTGCACAAATTGGAGTTGAGGGACACACAAAGAGAGTCCAGCAAGACCTCCCTCTCCACCCTCCCCACCTTTCCTCTCCTCACCCTTACCCCAGCTACAGGAGTTTTTGCTCCTTGGTTTATGTGCCAGATGGACTTTTGCAGTAAAGCGGTGATGTGGTAGTAAAGATACAAGGCTGAATATGCAGTCGTCTAGACTTAATTTAATATAGAATATCCAATTTATACCTTGTTTTCAGTGTTCTCAGCTCTAATGCCCTGCTAGGACTGATGTCGTATCTAAATTCTGAGCACACTGCTTGCCTAGGGCAGCAATAGACCTTTTATTCAAATTTAAATTAGCTGAAGGCTAGTTGTCCTATATGTGAAATTGTGTTCTTAATATTCTGATTGAACACACACAGGCCATCCAATTAGGTGAATCGTCTGAAGTACTTTTTATCTACTGACATTTATGATTAGAAAGCCTTAGAGCAGTTAAATTTCATTAATGGCATCAATTTGTCCATTATTACAGATTGTCTATTTCCTGCAACCCAAAGAAGCTACTTTTCTTCTCCTTATCTCATATCTAAATTTGAACATACATTAAACATATCTATTAAAGTAACGATTCTGCAGAATGAGGGTTAGGTTTCTGAAACCCTAAGTGTAAATCCCTTCCGCCACAGTCTCCAAAAGTGATCCCTATTTGCACAGTTATTTCTCTCTCCATCTGTAGATTATGAAGAATAATTCTGAGTAAAGGTGCTAGGAGAGTGTTCATTCATTGGATGAAATCCCACATTGACAAAGTATTTATCAAGAATCAAGATTTTATTTCCTTATGTTATTATATATAATTCTTTTTCTTACAAGAATCTTCTGCTGACTCAACTTTTCCTGGAAAAATGGACCATTCTCACCACATGGAGATGAGCCATATGGACCACAACACTACCACGGCACCTGCTCACCATCACTCGGCCACTTCAGCCTCCCACTCCCATGACGAGAGCATGGACCATATGATGATGATGGTGAGTGCCACAGGAGGGGCAGCCCAAGCCCTCTCTCACCCACTTGGGTAATAGAAATAATCGAATTTTAGGACTGGAAGGTTGTCTTTAGAGCTCAGTTTGCTGATGAGGAAAAACTAAGACCCAGACAAGTCAAATAATTTGCCCAAGATCATGTGGCAGATTAATTACAGAGCCATGCCAGAACCAGAACCAAGATTTCTAGGCTTCTTTCTTCTCTATTGCTTTCTTTCAAAGTTGACCCTTTCCTGAATTAAGTTGTGGTCTTTATGCTTTGTGTAGGAAAGAGAAAAATACAAAAGTCGTTGGTGGGGGCAAAGGAGAGTACTAGTGGAGAGTATCTGTGGTAGGAATGCTAAAATAAGGAAGAAAGCCTCCCACTTCAGTGTTCCCACTTCAGTGTCTCTCATTATCCAGATCAGCTACTTTTAAATGTGCTAAGCTTCTTTACCTAAAATTCTCAGTGAGAATCTTTAATTGTCTCTAATTGTCTTGGTTTGGTTTTCTGGCAGCCTATGACCTTCTACTTTGGCTTTCGGAATGTGGAACTATTGTTTTCTGGTTTGGTGATCAATACAGCTGGAGGTGAGTAAGCCATCAGGTGGTGTTTGAAGGTAACAGTCACATGAGAGACAGTGACAAAGAATCTGGAAACCCAGCACCTCTTTCTGCCATGATTACTGAATCATTATAGTTATGATACATAACCATTTTGCTTCCTGTTTCCTACCTGGAAGGTAAGGATACACAATGCTTATTTTGGTCCTACAGTAAACCTCCCTTAAATAACGTGTATGTTTTAGGGTTTCTGAAAAATAATTTAGATACCAGATAAGAGTCTTTTGTAATCCATTTCTTTTCATCCTTTTCCAGAGTGTTTCCTTGTCTGATAAGTTTTTGGTCCTGGACGTAAGACTCGAGTCAAGTTCAAATGACATAAGCATTTTATATTACATACCACAAAATAACCTTAGGTTAAAAATTATTGATCTAGTACAATCCTTCCATTTTACGGATAAATTAAACCTCAAATAGCAAAATGATTAGCCCTAAATCACATAGAGTTAGTATGTCAGAGCTAGGACAGAGACCCAGACCTTCTAGATCTGCCTACGCCAATGCTCTTTCTAGCTTACCAAACTGTGGTCTGCATCATTCCTGATTATTGGCATGGCCGATCTTAGGGTCCGTCCTAGTTTTTTGTAACTAATCAGCCATTTCTTTGTGTCTATAAGGTCACATTGGTGTCCCTTAAGTTCAAATTGCACAAGCTCAGTGGTCAATTGGACTGCTTTGCGCACCAGATGTATCTTTGGATCCACAAAATGAATTTGTTCTGGGAAGAAAGGGAGCATTTAGTTTAGGTAGTGTGTTAATTCAGCAGTTTGAATACATTCATATCATTACCAACACTTTGCAGTGTGAAAAACTTAGAGTCGAAATGCCTGTTCAAGAAATAGCACTCAAAAATAAGTCGTTTTATTCCTCTTTTGCATATTCTACATTGTGTGTTTCAATTAACAAGCTAATTTAATGACATCAAGCAACCAGACCAAAAGGTTATTGTTGTTCAGATAATTTTTTGTATCTTAACCAGAAATTGAATATGTTCTTCAGTGGAGGCAATGGTTTTCACTAACACCATCTTAGCTGTTCTCTTCTCTCTGTACAAGTGAAGAGGTAACAATATAATGAATTCAGAAATTGAGAGTAGCACTTTTTCTGTGTTGTCTTTCTAGCTTGGACAGCACACCAGCTAAGGACTTTGCTTGTTTGACAGTACCACCATCTTTTCCTTCCCTATTTAGAAATGGCTGGAGCTTTCGTGGCAGTGTTTTTACTAGCAGTGTTCTATGAAGGACTCAAGATAGGCCGAGAGAGCCTGCTGCGCAAGTCACAAGTCAGCATTCGCTACAATTCCATGCCTGTCCCAGGACCAAATGGTACTACCCTTATGGAGACACACAAAACTGTTGGGTAAGAAGATCAAACAGATCCAGTTGGAAGTTCTGGAGAGCTAGATTAGTTAAGCAGCAAAGCAGCTATCTTACTAGCAACAGCCTCCTCTTGAGTTAGTGATTCTATATGACCTTGATCAAAACTGTCTTGGGAGACAAAACCGTCCCATTTGCAACAACATGGATGGACCTGGAGGGTATTATGTTAAGCAAAATAAGCCAGAGAGAGAAAGACAATCACCACATGATTTCACTCATAAGTGGAAGATAAACTAACACACGGACAGAGAGAACTGTTCGGTGGTTACCAGGGGCAAGGGGGTTGGGGGGTGGGCACAAGGGGTGAAGGGAGGCATTTATACAGTGACTCCCAAACAATAATGTACAACTAAAATTTCACAATGTTATAAACTATTAAGACATCAATTAAAAAAAAATTGGGTGGGGGGCTGGCCCCATGGCATAGCGGTTAAGTGCGTGCTCTCCACTGCTGGCGGCCCGGGTTTGGATCCCAGGTGCGCACCAACACACCGCTTGTCAGGCCATGCTGTGGCGGCACCCCGTATAAAGATGGGCACGGATGTTAGCTCAGGGCTGATCTTCCTCACACACACACAAACACACTAAATGAATAAATAAATATATTTAAAAACATTTTTTTTAAAAAAAAAACACTGTCTCTGGAGGCTTGGGGTTGTGGGTCATGAGTAGGCCAAAGGAGGAATAATAGGAACCCTTCTGCAAACATGACATTTATTCTGAGTTTTAAGTATTGGTCAATTTGGAAGAACGTAAGACATCTGTATTTTAAAATATTTGCCAAAATAATAATAAACAAGTTAAGAAAAGAAATTTAGGGGCCGGCCCCATGGCTTAGCGGTTAAGTGAGCGCGTTCCACTGCTGGCGGCCCGGGTTCGGATCCCGGGCGCGTACCGACACGCCGCTTCTCCAGCCGTGCTGGGGCCGCGTCCCACATACAGCAACTAGAAGGCGGTGCAGCTATGACATACAACTATCTACTGGGGCTTTGGGGGGAAAAAAATAAAAATTAAAGAAATTTAGGTCAGGGTATAGAAGAATGGCAGAATCCAATTGATTCCTTTCTGTAAAAAATTGTGCCTACCCAGCTCTAGTCTCATTTTGTTTACAATATAAGACTGTACAAATGTCTGTATTCCATCTAAGAAAGTACTTGGATGACTATTGGTTTTTCCCACAGATTGGCAAATGCGTTTTGAGATTCAGTTTTAATAGAAATGTACGTCTTAAAACTAAATTGGTGTTCAAGGAATCCTATAGACCAATATCCTACTTTCAAGTAAGCACGATACTGTTTATTCCCATTGTATCAATGAGCTTATTGAGGCCCAAATAGTTTGTGACTTACCTAAGGTGACAGAACTAGTAAGTGACAGAAGTGATAGCCAGGTCTCCTGATCCCTAATAAAGTGCTTTCTACTACACCACCCAACCCTTGATTCTATTTCCATTGTTTTAGAATGTAAACTTTGACAAGGTGGAAGGCCTGAAAATGTTCAGGCAAATACGTATGAGAGGGCTTAGGGCTTCGCTTTCAGGATACAAAATGGAGGTAAGTCAGGGGATCACTCCTCCTTCCTCTCCCCTTTCCCCAAAGAGGGTCCCTCCTGCTGACATATAATCCTATCTGGCCAACGTTTATAAACCTGACAGCCCTACCATGTTTTATTTCCAGGGATCAATAAACAACATACGTACACACAAGTGCCCACGAGTTGCCAGGGTGGCTGTGAGGGAGTCCGGCTCCAGTTGAGCTCATGACTATGACTGTTCCCCCTGTCTCCTGACCTGCCGAGCTGCCTGCACACTCCTAGGGGTCCCTGATTGTTGTGTCCCTGTTTGCTCTCCAGGCAACAGATGCTGAGCTTTCCTCACCTCCTGCAGACAGTGCTGCATATCATCCAGGTGGTCGTCAGCTACTTCCTCATGCTCATCTTCATGACCTACAATGGCTACCTCTGCATTGCTGTAGCAGCAGGGGCCGGCACAGGATACTTTTTCTTCAGCTGGAAGAAGGCGGTGGTCGTGGATATCACAGAGCATTGCCATTAACATCAAACTCTGTGGTGTGGCCTTATCGGTTGCAGTGGGAAGCAGTTCAAGGCTGGAAGACATGATTCCTACTCCAATCTTCCCTTCTCGCTCCTTATCTCCTTACACACGCACGCACACACACACACACACACACATATCTGCTCAACAGAGGTTTAGCTTACAGTCTCTGAGCTAAACTGGTAACCTCCCTCTTTTTTCCCTAATGAACTGCGATTCTCATTTCTCTTGAGGTGAACCCACACATGAGATGTCCTGTCCTCCCCCATCGTCTTAGATCCAAGTTATAAGTTCTTGTCTAATCCAAGTAGCTTTCTATTCAATGGCTTGATCACCTGATTCCTCTTTTAGACTTCTGTTTTCATTTTTTTAACAGACAATATGTGAATTTGGTGTGTTTTTCCTGGGTCAGTGAAGGAGAGGGATTAACTTCAGCCAGGATTGACAGCAGCTGAGGGAAATTCTTGCCTAACTAAACCCAGAACCCATGCTTACCGTTAAAAAATAAGTTCCGGGTCTTTGGACTCAATGAGTGGCAAATACATTGTGCCTTTCCTGAGGTGTGATGTGTTACACTGAAATCTTTGTAGTGGGCCGAGGGGTGGTTTGAGACTAAATACAGGCCTGGAGCTTGCAGAAATGTGCATTGTTGGGTGGCTGACTCCTCAACTTGTGTTCCCACTTAACATTTCATTAGAATGAACTTGTCAATCAAAAAAAAGATGACAATTTGAGAAAATAGAAATAGATATTTTAAAACAAAACGGTTGACATTCCGACTTGCCACCTTGGTTTGTCACAGCTGAATGAAGCGAAAGAGTTTGACTCATTTCCTCCCATTAATTGTTTTCATGTGACTGCCTCTAAACCAGTAGTTTTCAAACTTTAGCATGCATCAGAATCACCTGAAGCATTTGTTAAAACACTGGTTGCTCGCCCTCAAACCAGAACCCCACAATTGGCATTTTTAACCAGTTCCCAGGTGATGCTCCTGCTGATGGTCAGGGGACCACACTTTGAGAATCTCTGCTTTAAACTAAGGGAGTCTCACCTGGTGGGTGAGCTTCCTGGTACTGGGCGTGGAATTGGAATTGCTATCAGTAGGTGCTATGTCTGGGCTTAACTCATATACTGAATGCTGCTGGTCAATACTTAATCATTCCACGAGCATTGATTCAGCCCCCAACTGGATGTATGTGTGCCCAAGCACACGTGCACAAAGGGCTGTAGCCAAAGTAACTTTTATCAGCATGGATGAAATCACTAGCTCTTATTTTAATAGATCTGTGGTTTCTTCAAAGTAGCTTGAGATTGAAAAGACCTTTGATCTGCAGTGTAAATCAGCCAGTCATGGGCCAGAAGGGCAAAAGTCCAGCCCTCTCTTTAGAGAGGCTTAGGGTATGGTCTGCTGATGGCTAGATTTTCCTCAGCCCTCAAACTCCATGCCCACACCAGGCAGATCCTCATCCTCTCCATGCCCATCTTTGTTACTCTTGGGGGCTTAATTAGATCACAGGTGGCCAAAAGCTCTTTTCTCATTGAAGAATCACAGTGGATTTTTATTCTATTTGGTTGTTAGTCTACACTGCAGTCTTGTTCCCAGTCCAAACTACCTCTGTAAAGTGACTCTTCCTGTGCTGGTCTGTTAAATCCTGCCCTCCTTGGTGCTAGACTCCAGTCGTGCCTCAGGGCAGAGGAGACACGACACAGCTATCCTGTTGGCCTCTGTTGTGGTTTTGAAGTTTGTACTTTCTCTGTGGGTGCCCCTTAACTATTTGGAGAGCGAGGAGTGTGTACTTCCATGGCTTTGAACCAAGGGAGGGTTATGAGCCTACTGGATTGAGGTTAAAATCTAAGAACCAACATTTCGAGTTTTGTGCTTTTCTCTCATTCCAAGCCCTTGTAATGCTAACACTTAGCATGAGCAGTGTGAATGACAGGTACTGACAGAGTCCAACATTAAGGTAAATAGCCTGTTATTGTCTCAGAAACCAAGGAATAATAAAACCATGAGAATAATAAGAATCAATGTTTAGTAGTGACCCTGGTCCTCTCTAGAAATCTTAGCATGAGCTGCTACAAAAGACCCTTTCAGGTACAGGAAGTTATCAGTAAGGTAAGAAAAATCAAGGCCAGTTAAGACAAAATGGTATGAATTTGAAACTCAGAAACATCAGTTTGGCATAAGTCTTCAGGTACTCAAGATAGAATCTCATGACAAACCTGAATCCCGCAGTTCTTAGACTAGCTTGCCAAAGGAGGAAGCTAGTGAAGGAGAAAAAAAATTAAAGCTTAAATTCTATCTTTCTTGCGCTCTTGGATTGTGCTAATATAATGATCTTGTTGACTTTCATTTCTGTGTCTGTGTTCATTTGGAATTGAGGCTGACTTCTTTGTTCCTTTTGAATCAGATTTCTCTTTTCCTCTTTCCCTGTTCACATTAGAAGCCGGTATCCCCATTTCTTTGGCCCCTTGTTCTGCTCTGCTTTTCTCTTTCTTTCAGTCTTTTATCCCATATATCTAGTTTATTAAGTCTCCCTAGCCCTCCTGATGCAATGGATATTGCTATGCAGCGGATATAGATACCAACCAGAAGTTGTAATACTTGATAGAGACCTTAAGCATGGTTCGAGGAGCAATTGTCTGGCTGGAATTTCTATAAGGCTTGGTAAAGAGCTACCTAGTACCATCTGCAGAGTTACAGAATCTCAGGTGCTGTCTCCAGTCTATGCTACAGGAACACTAAGCCCCCCATTGCCCACAAACAGAGAATCCTTTGTGTCCACCAGGGAGTTAGAGATTAAGGTTTCTTCACTACCTCTATGGTAGGGTTGTCTGGAATTCCCTTGAAGCTGTGGGGCACTGGTCTTGGATTCTAGCCACGAGGGGTTCCTTATAAGGAGAGGGAGCAGAGGGTACACTTTCATGTCATTTAATTTTGATCCTGCCCTCTCTGGCTGCTGCTTTTAGAAGATACATCTAAAGATACAAAGTCTGCACTTGATATTATGCCTTAATCACTGAGTCTACAATTAATGTTGACTGCTTTAGATTGTAAGCTCCTGGAGAGCAGTATTGCTGTAGTAGGAATGTTTTAACAGTGTCGTGTACAAAAGAACAAAATAAATATTTTGATTTTGTGATTCTATGTATGTCTTTTTTTTTTTTTTTTTGTGAGGAAGATCAGCCCTGAGCTAACATCCATGCCAATCCCCCTCTTTTTTGCTGAGGAAGACTGGCCCTGGGCTAACCTCTGTGCCTATCTTCCTCCACTTTATATGGGACGCTGCCACAGCATGGCCTGACAAGCAGTGCCTCAGTACCCACCCAGGATCCGAACTCAGGCTGCCAGCAGCAGAGCACGCACACCTAACCGCTAGGCCACAGGGCCGGCCCTCTATGTATGTCTTTCTACACAGAATGATATCAGAGTAAGTGGTCTCTTCATTGTCCACATAGAGTGTGGCCATTACCATCAGTTTTTAAGATGTCAGTCTTTTAGGTGGCATGATCTCTGTTTTCATCTCACTCTACTCCTCCTCTACTTAAAATGATAAGCTAGTACATGCCAGAAGATCTGCATGACCTTTTGCACAGGAGACAGGGTCTTCATGAAGCAGCAAATATCTGAGTATACCAAGGATTCCTGAATTTAAAAGCTAACTTGTCATATCATAATCCCTTCCTTGTATTTATACTGTCAGGCAAGAGGCCCTGAGTTGGGCCTCTAGGAACTTCACTGCCAAGCCTTGAGATGAGCATTAGCCCTGCCTGTCCCTTTGGTAATGCCAGGATGCGGGTGTTATGTGCCCTTCCTACCAGCCCCCACATGGGCATCTTGCCATTTAGCACCACTGCTGCTCCCTTCCATAGTGTAGTATGATGAGCAGAGACTTGGGAGTCAGGCATACTTGGGTTTGAATCCTGGCTCCACCACGTACTAGGAGTGTGACCTTAGGCAAGTTATTTTAATAATCCCTAAGCCTTACTTTTCTCATTTATAAAAAGGCAATAATAGTACCTATTTGAATTAGGAGCAATATGTATAAAGCATCCAGCACATAAGAGGCATCCAAGCCACTTGCTGTTAGTGCCGTCGAGTCAATTCCAACTCCTGGTGCCCCTGTGGACAGCAGAGCAGAACCCTGCTCCGTCTTTTTGCACCATCCTCTCACCTTCTGGTGTTGTATCAGACAACACTCCACTGCTATTCACAGGGTTTTCGTGACCAGTTTTTTCAGGAGCAAGTGGCCAGGTCCTTCTTCCTAGTCTGTCTTAGTTTGGAAGTTCCACAGAATCCTATCCACCTTGGGTGACCCTGCTGGTATTTGAAATGCTGGTGGCATAGCTTTCAGTGTCACAGCACCAGGCAGCTGCTACAGTATGACAACAAACGGGTGGTGTGGTTCCCCGACGGGATCAGGAACTCACTGCAGCAATGAGACTGCTGTGTTTTAACCACTAGACCACCAGGGCTGGCTATCCAAACAATCGTAAGTATATTTTTATTGTCTTCTGATTACCATTACTCCAGCTTTCAGGAAAATGAAACGTCCGCTCCTTTGGATAAGGTCAGTATCTCTTGACAAGCACCTGACCATCTTCCTGAGTTTGGGCAATCCAGAAATGAACACTAGGACCTAAGAAATACAGAATCCGTGCATGTGATTTCAGTTGTGTCAAAAAAGATTTACAGCTGCAATAAGCTCTTATCTACCAATCTGTTGTCTCATTCTTTTATAAATAAAATAGCATGGACGTTTCCTGAGAATTGAAACAGCAGTCTCTCACTCGACCCCCGATTTCCCCACTTTCTTAGACCCAGCAGTGGAAGACCAGGAAAACAGTGTAGCAAGGAAGTTTAGAGGCGTGGGTTCAGAAATCAGTCAGCCTGCCTGAGTTCGAATCTCAGCACTACCCCTTAATAGCTGAGCATCAGTTTTGCCTTTTTTAAAGTTAGGATAAAGTATTCTCATATGAGTTGAAGATTACATGAGATAATCTGCATAAGGCGCTCGGTACTGTGTCTTACACACAGAGCCCTCCGAGTATTTGCTATTAGGAGGGAAGGGGAAGAAATTCGGGAGGCACAATGTTTTCATGCTTCTGTGCCTATTCATGCTGGGAAGTCACAGTGACAGAGGCTGAGGCAGAGTCCTGTTTCTTCTTTTTTTTTTTTTTTTGCCCTTCCATATTGGCCTTTGCAGGCTTAGATATAATAAAACATTTCCCTATCTGAAGCCTGATTCTTGCTGTGTTAAGACTGTAAGATAATAGAATTGAAGGTCCTAGATAAAACTAGAATAAAGGTCTTGTAAGAATGGAAGAAGGGAAGCTATGTATCCTCTTCTATCCCTGCCTCTCCCACATTCTTATTACCCAGACTTAAACTACCCCAGAAAGGCTGGGTAAAACCCCACTAAGGGGTCTTGTTAGAACCTATGATCCTAGAGGGTCTTTCTACCACAGCTGGTTCCCTGTAGTTGAATTAAACAGTGAAAACAATAGAACATGATTCTAAATTACCCTCTGAGCTGCCTCTCAGATTGGTTCCTAGTAGCAAAAATTCTTAGGCAAGTTGGGAAAGGAAGGAAAATTGGAATGATGGTAATACTGTTAGAAGCATTCTTATAAGGTTTCCTTCCACTGCCTGTCCTCCCAAACTTATCCCCAAACTAGTTACAAAGCCATTCTGTCAACAGATTCTGGAAATCCACAACTTGGTCAAGTTTACACCAAATCACTAGAATCTAATCTCCACAAGGGCAAGGATCTTTGCTGATTTTGTTCACTGATGTTACTAAGTGCCTAGAATGGTACCTGGCACATAGTAGGCACTCAATAAATACTCGCTGAATAAATGAGTTAAATGAAAGTCAGTGACGGATCAACTAGAAGTGTTCTGTGCTTAGGGTCTTTTAACAAAGATGGAAAGAATGATGTTACCTCTTGTAAGCAATTACCTTTTAAAGATTTTATTTATTTATTTTTCCCCCCAAAGCCCCAGTAGATAGTTGTATGTCATAGCTGCACATCCATCTAGTTGCTGTATGTGGGATGCAGCCTCAGCATGGCCGGAGAAGCGGAGCGTCAGTGCGCGCCCGGGATCTGAACCCGGGCCGCCAGCAGCGGAGCGTGCGCACTTAACCGCTTAAGCCACGGGGCCGGCCCCAGCAATTACCTTTTAAAGTCTGGGGGTTAACAGTGCTATTATACTTCATTAAGGATGTCCACACTTTTCTAAAAATATATTTATTTTTAAAAACAAAAATCAGACAAGTTTTACAGAGTCAAATTTTCCAGAGACAAACGAGTTTGGATTTCAGCTTAGAGTGCAAATTAAGCATTGATAATCTCATGCAGAACTATTTCTCTCTGCAGGAGGTCAAACAGTCTGCTTGACTACAAGCACTCGATTCTCCAAATCTTGTTTGTACTTCTGCCATCATTTTACTCCATTCCAGGGCTCTGGCACACAAGATAATCCACCTCTAAAATTCAAAGCTTCCAAATTGAGATGAACGATTGTTGGGCTTGGGTTGGGGTTTATAACCAATTCGATCATTAATCATTTGTTCCCGGCTCTTGGGGTCACTGCTGAGCCCAATGGTGCCTTCTCCATCACTGCCTCCGACAACTTCCACATCCTCCTTTTGTTTCTTACGGTTCTGAAAGTATAAAAGTTTTAGGATTAAGGCAACATTCTTTCCATTAGCAAACATTTATTTAGTACTTCCCATGTACTAGGCATAGGGTAAAGGATAGGGTTAGGCTATAGAACAATAAACTGAAGTCCTAGGTTCAGACGGTTAGGGCTACAAGGAAGATACAGGGATATAGTGATAAAAGATATAATCCCTACCCTCCAGAATGTCACAGTCTAACAGGGAAACAGGTAAATAGACAATTACAACATAGGGTGATCAGGGCTATGACAGAGGAAAGCCCACACTGCCAAAGAAACACAGAGAAGGGGTGAGGAGTGAGTAGTGGTGGAGGTTCAGAGCAAGAAGCTGCAATTAGAAAGATAAATAACAGTTGGCAGACAAGGCGGAAAGAAGGGTGTTTCAGTAAATTTATTATTCAAGAGAATAGATGGAAAAATTAAGTCACTGGTACAACAATAACCACCAGACATTAACAGGTTGACTGACACCATGCGATTAAATGTAGCACAGGAATAGGCCTATCTTATCAAAAGGCCTAAGTTTGAGGTTTCATTTTGTTTTCAGATAAAAGGTTTGGCTTTTATTTATTTATTTATTTTTTGTTAGGAAGATCAGCCCTGAGCTAACATCCATGCCAATCCTCCTCTTTTTGCTGAGGAAGACTTGCCCTGAACTAACATCCATGCCCATCCTCCTCTACTTTATATGGGACACCGCCACAGCACGGCCTGACAAGCAATGAGTTGGTCCGTGCACGGGATCCAAACCCAGGCTGCCAGCAGCGGAGCGCGTGCACTTAACTGCTACACCATAGGGCCGGCCCAAGATTTGGCTTTTAAGTCACAAGTGACTGCAGAATTCACAAAGTCTATATCTCAGTTTAATCATTTTCAAAAGGAGAGACTAACCCTTATCCCATAACTACCACTACCTGACTGTAAAGATGATATTAGATGATGAAACTCTCTGAGAGAGGGAACATATGTCTTATCTAGAGTTGCTTACCAGAAGAATGGCTCCACTACTCTAATCACTGCAATTGCCGCCATTCTTCACCACTTACTGCTGAGCTGTGAGCATTTAATGCCAACGTCCAAGTATTACAGTGAATCAAACAAGGTATTACATATATATATAAATATAATGACCTTTCTGAGTCACTCTCTAGTCTACACTACCAATAAGTTACCATTAGAAAATTCGCCCCAAACACCTTTGTAAAATCAAGTTCTAAAAGGCAAACGATGCTAGCATTTTACAAGCCGTAAGAACCTCTGAGAATATCCAAATGGAATGAATCGCTTAAAAGGCTTCCCACATGGGGCCAGCCCGGTGGCGTAGTGGTTAAGTTTGCACGCTCCGCTTCAGCAGCCCGGGGTTCACAGGTTCAGAGGCAGGGTGTGGACCTAGGCACCACTTATCAAGCCATGCTGTGGCAGCATCCCATATAAAGTAGAGGAAGATGGGCACAGACGTTAGCCCAGGGCCAATCTTCCTCAGCAAAAAGAGGAGGATTGGCAACAGATGTTAGCTCAGGGCTAATCTTCCTCACAAAAAAATAAACAGGGCCAGCCCCGTGGCTTAGCGGTTAAGCGCGCGTGCTCCGCTGCTGGCGGCCCAGGTTCGGATCCTGGGCGCGCACCGACGCACCGCTTCTCCGGCCATGCTGAGGCCGCGTCCCACATACAGCAACTAGAGGGATGTGCAGCTATGACATACAACTATCTACTGGGGCTTTGGGGGGAAAAAAATAAAAATAAATTAAATAAATAAATAAATAAAAGGCTTCCCACCATGAAAAACTGCTGTTTCAGAATCTAGAGTCATCAAAATGTAATCAAACTAATTTTAGTAACAAATGAAATACCAGTTTTCTACTGGTTTCATTTTAGTTCAGGGCAAAACTATCCCTCCCTCCTAAGTTGCTCTAAAACAGGTCAAACCCACTGGCTAATTGCCTTTAGTAGAAAGACTAACTCAATAGTGAGCTGACTCTGAAGAGTCAAAGTTCAGTACGCTAGCACTTTATGAGACTCACTACAACTGAACTTTACACTTAAAGCTCACCCTTAGAAACTATCAATATGAGCTTTTAAAAAGCAAAAAATTATGATACTTAGAGAACACTAAAGTCTCCTGGGGTGAGGAAGAGGGAAAAGAAATCCAAGTTATCTGTCTTAATAAGAAGCACAGACAATACATAATAAAGCCATTATGTTCGTGGACATGTACAAGATATAATGTCCTCTGCCATAGAGTATAAAATATCTCCTAGGACAGCAAATGAAAACAGACTTGTATTGAGCATCTCCTTTGGGCCTGGTATTGCCGGGAACAGATGCAGAGAAGAATATATTAATTCGTGCCTTCAAAGAGCATATGGCCTAGTGGGGGAAAACAGAAACACAAATAGTTAAAACAGAGGGATAGTGCCTACGAGAGAGGTCAGCACAGGAGGAAGAGGTTGAACCTAACCCAGCGGGGGACAGGTAGACTAGGAAGACTTCTGGAAGGAGCTGAGTCAAAAGATGAGGAGTTAGGCAGGCAAAGAAAGAGAAAGGGCATTTCAGGCAAAAGGAACAGAATGTGCAGAGGCACTGAGATTCAAGTTAAAGATAATGCAGCAGCGGGAGATAAAGTGGAGTAATGAGCAAGGACCAGGTCATAAAGGGCGTTGCGTGCCTAAGGAATCTGGACCTTATTCTGAAGGCCACTAAAGAATTTAAGCCTTATTAATGGACATCTAATACTGTGGGGTTAGGTTACACTTAAAAATACATACTGAGGGGGCCGGCCCTGTGGCCTAGTGGTTAAGTTTGGTGCACTCTGCTTCGGCACCCTGGGTTCGGTCCCCGGGCACGGACCTATACCACTCGTCAGTGGCCATGCTGTGGCAGCAACCCACACACAAAACAGAGGCAGACTGGCACATATGTTAGCTCAGGGTGAATCTTCCTCAAGCAAAAAGAGGAAGATTGGTCAGGGCCGGCCTGGTGGCATAGCAGTTAAGTTTGCACACTCCATTTGAGCAGCCTGGGGTTCACAGGTTCGGATGCTGGGCACGGACCTACACATCACTTATCAAGCCATGCTGTGGCACGCATCCCATATAAAGTAGAGGAAGATGGGCACGGATGTTAGCCCAGGGCCAATCTTCCTCAGCAAAAAAGAGGAGGATTGGCAACAGATGTTAGCTCAGGGCTAATCTTCCTCAGGAAAAAAAAAACATATCAAGCTCCTACTATTTACAAGATGCTGGAAACTAAGTGGTAAAGAAGACAGACATGATTTCCACCATCAAGGTTCCTAATGTAATTGGTTTTACAATAAACAAACAAATCATTGTAAATTATAATGCCATGAAATAAAAGAATAAAGTGCTGTGAGAGACCCTAATGAGATGGAGGCAGCATGGATAGGATTGATACACCTAACTAAGACAGGCTCAGAAGAGGCCAGTCAGACTAAGGAAATGACATTTAAACTGAGACATGAAAAGAGGGGGAGCACTAAAGGCAGAAGGAAATAATATGTGCAGAGGCCACGAGTAATGACTAGTTTGGCATCTTGAAGGAAATGAAAGCAAGCCAGTGTGCCTGGGGTACAGAGGGCAAGGCAAAGAGGCAGGAGGTGAAACCTGAGAAGGGCCGCAACAAACACATCTTGTAGGCCATGATAAGGAATTCAGAGTTTATTCTAAGTGCAGAAAACCACTGAAGAGTTTTAAGGAGAGGGATGACATGATCTGAAAATTTTTAAAGGTCATTCTAGATACCTGATGGAGAATGGATTGAAGAGACAAAAATGGAAGCAGAAAGACCATTTTTAGGATGCTACTGAAATTGTACAGAGAGATGATGGTTACTTGGACTAGGGTTGTGCAGTGGAGATGAAAACATGGGTAAATTCTGGAAATATTCTGGAGGTAAAATCAAAGATTTATGGACAGATTGAATACAAAGGGGGAGGAAAAGGGGGACTCAGGTTTCTGGCTTGAGCAACTGCCCAGAGACTGAGATGGGGAACACTGAGGTGAAACCGGTTTGAGGAAGAAATCAAAGAGTTTTTTGTTTTAACATGTTAAGTGTAGTAGGCTGAATAATGACCCCCAAAGCTATCAGGTCCTAAGCCCTGGAACCTGAAAATGTTGCCTTATATGGGAAAAGGGATTATACAGATGTGATTAAATTAGGGATCTTGAGGTGGGGCGTTATCCTGGATTATCTGTGTGGGCCCTAAATGCCATTACATATATCCTTATTAGAGGGGCAGTGGGACACAGACCGAGGAGAAGGCAATGTGATCAGGGAGGCAGAGATTGCAGTGATGCAGCCACGAGTCAAGGAATGCCAGCGGCCACCAGAAGCTAGAAGGGTCGGGGAACGGATTCTCCCCTAGAGCCTCTGCAGGGAGCACAGTCCTGCTGACACCTTGATTTTGGAAGTGATACTGATTTCACATTTCTGGCCTACAGAACTGTGAAAGAATAAATTTCTGTTGTTTGAAACCACCAAGTTTGTAGTAATTTGTTACGGCAGCCACAGGAAACTAATACATTAAGTTTGAGAGGCCTGTAAAGCATCCAAATAGAGATTTCAAATAAGCTGTTGGTACAAGAGTCTGGAGTTCAAAAGTTGGAGTTTTAAATATTCCTAAGGGTTTGAAAGTTGTGCTCTTACCTCCAGGTCCTTTCGAATGCTCTCAAACTCCTCAATGTCATCAAGCTTCAGCTCCAGGCGGGTTGGTTTTCGTCGCAGCATGTTGAAATCAACATCAAAGGCCAGACCCAGTGAACTATTAGCTGTTAAAAAGGCAGAGAGAAGGAAAAACTGGAGGGGATAAATCTCAGCTGCAAATGTAAGATCAGTTTGTACGCATGCTTGCTAAAATGAATGGCAATTAAAAAGATTCATTTGGGGCCGGCCTGGTGGCGTAGCGCTTGAGTGCGAATGCTCTGCTGCGGCAGCCCGGGGTTCGGACCCGGGCCACACCGATGCACCGCTTGTCAAGCCATGCGGTGGCGGCGTCCCATATAAAGTAGAGGAACATGGGCATGGACGTTAGCCCAGGGCCAGTCTTCCTCAGCAAAAAGAGGAGGATTGGCAGATGTTAGCTCAGGGCTGATCTTCCTCTCAAAAAAAAAAAAGATTCATTTGGATTCACACATAGACTTCTAAGACTTTTGGTGTATGATTATTACATTTTTATTACATGATTGAGATCCACAACTTTGTAATTCCAAAAAACTCTTTCTTCAAGAACTTAAAACGCCAAACTACCTCTAAAAGAGAATTCTAGGTAACAATCACTTTAATCTCATGCTCCTGTCACATTCAGAGAAATATTCTAGCTAAGAGAATAAAGTTAAAAGATCACATCTTAATTCAGTATAGTCAGTGGGAGAGTATATAAGCCATTAAATTTGATCAACACTACATGAGAATTGTGAGAGATTTGTGATCACCCTCAAATGCTAAAATAAATTTACTAAATCTCACGAAAACTCCCTCTAACTCACCAATTCACAGAGTTGTCCTAAGGATCTAAGTAGGTCCTAAATGGATATGTCATTCATTAAACAAACACTTCTTGTGCTCCAGCTACAGAGTTAAAAGGCACAGTCACAGTCAGTGGGGAAAACAAACACATAAACAGAAAATTGCAACACAGTGTAATAAAACTCTGGCAAGGGTAACGCAATGGCACCAAACAGGCACCAATCCAGTCTGGGCTGAGTGTGAGATGGACAGGAATGTGGAGGGCTTCCTGGAAGAGATGATGTCTTAGTTGACTGGTTAAGGACAGACAGAGTAAAGAGATTAAGGGCATTCCAGGCAGAGAGAACAAATACGCAAAGAGGCTCAAGAGAACCCTCCAGAGCTTGAAAACCCTAGGTAATGCTTATGCTAACAAAAAACATTTTTTTGAGAAGAAAATAAAACTCCCCAACTGAGTTTAAAATCTGTGGATTGCATCTTCATATTCTCCACAGCATCCAGTAGAGTGTATCTATAATCACCAGTCAGTAAACGTTTTGTTGAATAAACTGAGATCCAATTAAAGTGAAATGAACTTTTCTTCAGCACTATGCTATGCTTTTCCATTCCCATTCTTTACATTTTTATTTTAACATAGAAACTGTGACACCAACAAAATTACCCCTATTTTACAGATGACGTCGAAGCTGTTCAGTTTGGTTAATAAATGTCAGCCTCCTATAAAAATTATACATACGTTCCACGGTGAGGATTGATGTAAGATGATTGATGCAACTGACTAATGTAATGAGAATGATGTAAGTGAAAGCTCCTTTAAAGTTTTTACAGACATAAATTATTATTACATGTATCCAGGATGTATCAAGGACTGTGAAACATACAAAGGAAGAAATGTTTCCTTCTCCCAGGAAGCTTAGGTGATATTATCAGATAAATACAGGTGATATTATCAACCCAAAACACCAGCACATTACATTTCAAATTGCTTTATATTAAATCAGATAATATCTTGATTCCAGTGTAGGCAAATGGTAGAGGGAGCCAAAGTTCGAGGGGGGGGGTGGGAGCGGTGGATGCGTAAAAGAAAGAAAAAACTGCTTTGCATTTTAACTCTTCGGCAAACTGTGAAAAATTCTATGAAGCAATATAGAGTAATGGGTACAAGTGCTCTCTAGAGGCAAAAGGGCAGAGGGCAGAGGTTCTAATCCCATCCACCACTTATCACGAACAATTAGCTTCATCCTTCACTGGATCTTAGTTTCTGTAACTGTACTCTGTTGTACGGATTCAATGACGTAATGCAAAGTAAGTTCCAGGAACATAACTGGGCATTTAGTAAACGCTCAATAAATAACAGCCATTATTATTGTAATTGTCCTTGGGGGTAGGGGCGGGGAGGGGCTCTGTCAGCTCGGGAAACACCAACATTTTAAGCATCTCCACCCTCGCCATGGGGGCAAAAGCCTCGTCTTGTTCATCTCTGATGCCCCAGCACGCAGCGGAAGGCAGGGCCGTGCAGAGTTGCTTGCGTGCAGATTACCTGACGCCTCACATCCATCATCTCACTCTGAATCTGATACAAAGACTGGGCTGAAGACAAACAACAAAATCAGGCCCTGGCTCCTCCGCCGGGTCTTTATTCTACTTTGGAGCTAGAGTGCTCTTCGAGCTGTTTCTCTCGCCACTGCTCGAATTCACCCAGCTCAGAGGGAGCCCCTGGCAGAGGACTTCCCGACAGCGGAGAACGAGCACAGCTCTCCTTCCGCAGCTCCAGGGCAGCACCCGGGGTCCAAGGTGACGGTTTCCATGGCAACAGGGACCTCCGCTCCAGGATGACGTAAAGCCGCGCGTTGGGCCGGGAGGGACCGCAGGCCCCGGAAGCCCTAGATTCGCTCCAGAGTTCAGCCCGGAGCCGCGCGCCTCGACGCACCTACCTCTTTTCAAGGCTGCTCAGCCCCTTCCCAGAACCTCGGCGCCCACTACGACTCTTCTGCCAGGCCAGCTGGACTACACTTCCCAGACTACTCTCAACCTCTCTCCTCGCAGAACCTCGTCCTCCGCGTGCTTTCCTCGGAGGACTACAAGCCACGCCTCTCGACGCGCCCAGAATCTTTCCTACTACGACTCCCGTCATGCTCCACGCCGCCCACGCTACTGCGCCGGCTGTCGGCCCACTTCCGGTAGGTGACGCAGTTCCGGTTTGCTGGGCGCGCGGTGGACGGTCTGAAACGTAGAGGTCGAGTTTCGCTGGGGCTTCGCGGCTCCAGAGCCCGGCATGGCTTCCTCACGAGCCTCCTCCACGGTACAGAGCTCAGCGCACTCTGGCAGGGAGCGCCGAGGGGTGGGGAGTCCAGCGGGATGGGGCCGTTAGGGAACGGGCTAGGCGCTGGAGGTGTGAGGAGGAGCAGCGTGTTCCCGATCCCTCAGCGCTTTCATGCGCTTTAGCTTATTTGCATCCCTCCCTACACCCGCGAACGGTAAATATCTCTTCCCACGGGTCCAAAAACGCAGCTCTGAAAGGGAGGACGTAGTGTCTTGGCCGAGATGTATGTCCGTGTCAGACCTCTTAATTGTAATGAGGCCTTCTTACTTCCTATCTACAGCCTGACGTCTGAAAACGTTTGAAGTGTATAGACCAGCATCTTTGTAACTTGTTTCCCCCTTACATCGCCTTGGCTATTTCAGTTATCCTTGATATTTCCCCTGTGATGAGCAATAACCCTGGAAGTGTCGTAAAACCGCAGAAGACATTGCACTTCCAACAGAATGAAGTAAACGTGTTTAAAAGCAAACCTTTGATAGGAGAATCACCAAGAGAAATGCACGAGTATCATCAACTTCTTCCTGTCTGCAAAACTTAAGTAATTGAGAAACACCCCCCTCAATCAGTGAAAACGCATCTTAAGGTGTCCAACTTGTCCTTTCCGTTCGGGAAGAAATAGGACTGACGCTCAGGATGAGCCTCATCCTTTGGGGAAGCCCGGTAAATTGCTAAGGTGAAGCCTTAGGTTAATCCAGGTCTTTGATTTAGCAGGCGACCAAAACTAAGGCACCTGATGACTTAGTCGCTCCTGTTGTGAAGAAGCCACACATCTATTATGGAAGTTTGGAAGAGAAGGAGAGGGAGCGTCTGGCCAAAGGAGAGTCTGGGATTTTGGGAAAAGAAGGACTTAAAGCAGGAATTGAAGCAGGAAATATTAACATAACCTCTGGTAAGATGCAAATTGTGAGTCCATGTTTACCTTTGGTGCTCAACTTTTCTGTAATGAATACCTTCCTAAACTTAGATATCACTAGTTTTATAGTGTCAGAAAATTGCAGTTTTAAACTTGCATCTGTGTAAGGTTTTACTTTGCCTACCCCGCTTATCATCATCCAGAATGCCTTTTTCTTAAAACCTTTTATACAGTTTTTCTTCCATGAATTGTTAGTAATTTTGCCAGGAATTTATTCAGCGTGTATTTGGCTTCAAAGTGATTCCGTTTGTCTTCTGGAGATCTGGCATAGTTCTGGCATTGGTTTGGAGCTACTGTCGTTCATAATATTCTCCGTTTTTTTAGTTTTGCAATTACTTTTCACTCAAAATGAAATGTTTTTTAAATTATAAAAGTAATAGTTATTTTTATTTTGAAAAATATCAAACAATGTAGAATTGTGAAGTATAAAATCCTGTAATGCTTATTAATTGGGTGTATATCTTTCTGAGAATTTAATAAAGCTATGAAAATGTATAATTTTTTTCCATAAATGAAACCATGATATACAAATAGTTTTGTAACTTGCATTTTATACTCTATGTACTATTGAGGATATCTTTCCATGTCAGTAACTGGTGGCCTACTGTATTTTTAAAATAAAATTATACATGTTTGTCATAAATTCAGACAGTACAGAATGGTATAAAATGAAAAGATTTCTTTGCAGAAAGGATCTCTTTCAGGTTTCTCATTGATCCTCCTACACATTTTCTTTTCTATACACATGCACTTTACAGACATTTTTAACCATTTATGCTGTTTTTAAACATAACTGCATCACCACTGTTCTTCACATTTTTCATCCAAATGCTTGTATTTGGTGTGAGTTTTAAAACTAGCTGCTAGAGGGGCCGGCCCCGTGACTTAGCGGTTAAGTGCTCGCGCTCCGCTACTGGCGGCCCGCATTCGGATCCCGGGTGCGCACCGACGCACTGCTTGTCCAGCCATGCTGAGGCAGCGTCACACATGCAGCAACTAGAAGGATGTGCAAGTATGACATACAACTGTCTACTGGGGCTTTGGGGAGAAAAAGGAGGGGGAATGGCGATAGGTGTTAGCTCAGGACCAGTCTTCCTCAGCAAAAAAGAGGAGGATTGGCGTGGATGTTAGCTCAGGGCTGATCTTCCTCACAAAAAAAAAAAAAAACTAGCTGCTAGATTATCCAAAAAGCCTTCGAGTCAAGGAATATCATTTTCATGGTAATTCTTTCTAGTTTACTAGTTTCATTTGTAAGTGTCCCGATACTGGGACTGTTTTAGAGAATAGCTTTGGCAATTGTTAAAACCACATTTCTATTTTATCTTCTGGATAGAAGAGCCATTTAACTCATTTGCTAAAGATGCTCTGTACTCTTTCTCATCTCATCTAAGCTGTGTGTTTATATGGGTGTAAGGTTGCCAGATCAAACAACATGACTTGAACCATTTTCCTGCCTCTTAAAGCTGTATCATTTAATTTTCTGTGTTTGGCGTAATTTAATAAACTGAGAAAAAGTAAACTATATCTATAAAGTGCTTAATAGATTAGACAGTTGACTTTTCCCTAGGAGCATACACAGACTCTAATTGTGAGAAATTATTTCTTTTCCTCTATTTGAAGAAGATCTGGTGATTATGCTGATGTTTCCTGTTCTTTTTATAGGAGAAGTGTTTGAAATTGAAGAGCACATCAGTGAGCGACAGGCTGAAGTATTAGCCGAGTTTGAGAGAAGGAAGCGAGCCCGGCAAATCAACGTTTCCACAGATGACTCGGAGGTCAAGGCTTGCCTTCGGGCCTTGGGGGAGCCCATCACGCTTTTCGGAGAGGGTCCTGCTGAAAGAAGAGAAAGGTGCCCTTTCTAGATATTTACTCTTTTCTTTTTTTTTTTTTTGTGAGGAAGATCAGCCCTGAGCTAACATCCATGCCAATCCTCCTCTTTTTGCTGAGGAGGACCGGCCCTGAGCTAACACCTATTGCCAATCCTCCTCCTTTTTTTCCCTTTTTCTCCCCAAAGCCCCAGTAGATAGTTGCGTGTCATAGTTGCACATCCTTCTAGTTGCTGTATGTGGGGCGCTGCCACAGCACGGCCAGACAAGCAGTGCATCGGTGCGTGTCCGGGATCCAAACCTGGGCCGCCAGCAACAGAGCGCGCACACCTAACCGCTAAGCCACGGGGCCAGCCCCTACTCTTTTCTTTTTTAACCACAGGGTTCTAGTCCCAAATTTCAGTTGGAAATATAGCTAAAACTTTAATAGAATGTCTCAGACAATGTTAACAGAATAGTTTAGCCCATAATCTGAGCCTTAAGCCAGTTTTTACTCTGCTACTAATTTGTCTTTATAAACTGTGAAGAAGGTGTTAACATGCTCCCTCCCCTCCCCAGTGTGGAATTTTGAGTTGGGTAAACATTTGTTGAACTTTGAAAATTTAGACAACAAAGGCATTTCTTGTCAGTGACATAAAACATAGTGAGAAGTGTTTTTTGGATATTATTGAAAAGGGACACTGTCCTCAGATAACGCTCCTCTTGTGATTTTAAAATTGCAGAATGATTTTAAAATTGCAGAATCTCTCTTTTTTTTTTAAAGATTTTATTTATTTATTTTTGTTCCCCCCAAAGCCCCAATAGATAGTTGTATGTCATAGCTGCACATCCTTCTAGTTGCTGTGTGTGGGACGCGGCCTCAGCATGGCCAGAGAGGCGGTGCGTCGGTGCGCGCCCGGGATCTGAACCTGGGCCGCCAGCAGCGGAGCGCGCACACCCAACCGCTAAGCCACGGGACCGGGACCTCCAATGTGTCTTCTTTTCTCTGCCTCCATTGCTTTCACATTTAGACTGTTGTAATAGCTCCAAATGTGTTGTCTTGATTGCTTACTTAAAATCCTGCAGTGTCGTCGTCTTTTATTTGGAGTAAAAAGCTCCTAATCCTGCTCTTCAGCCTCACCTTGTGCTACTCTTCCCCAGTTTACAAGACTTAGTAGCCACAGTGGTCCTCCTGGAATGCGCAAGCTTTTTTTCTATCTTTCTACTTAATTTTTCTCCTCTCTTTTGCTTTTAGGGCCTTTTTACTCTTTTGTTCTCAGCATAAATGCCATCTCTAAGAAGCCTTTCCTAACACCTGACCCCTTGTAAAGTAAGCCCCTCCATTATTCTCTTTCATAGTGTGTTATTTTCTTAGTAACTCTTTCAAAGGGTATGCTTTTATTGTTGTTTATTGTTTATCTTCTCCAACAGCAAAGTTTGTCTTATTATTGTGTCCCTTAGATGAATGTCTTGAATCCCTACTGCCACTATCTTACTTCAGTCCACCATTGAGTCTCAGAGGGTTCTTGCGGTGGTTCACTGTCTTGATTTCCTTGCATTTATTCTTCTCTCTTCAGTCCACTCACCATACTTTTCCAAGGATCTTTCTCAAATGTAAACCCTCCTTAACCATGGCATTAGGAGCTCTCTGTGACCTGGCACCTACTTACATTTGCAGCCATATCCCTCACCAGCCCTTTTCTCGCGCTCCATGCTCCACCCATCCTGAACTATTTGTGATTCCAAGTTCAACATGCTTTTCTTAACCCCAGACCTTTACATTTGTTAATCCCTCTGCCCCAACTGTACTTTCCCATTCTTGACTTACTAACCTGACTAACTGAGGACTCAGTTTAGGTAACACCTCCTCTGTGAAGCCTTCCCTGATCCACCTCCCTCCAAGCCTAGGTTAGGTTTCCTTTTATGTTCCCCTTAAGCATCCTCTACTTAACACTCTCATAATACTTAGTATAATGTACTCTAGGTTCCCTGTTACTTTCTGCACCACCTCCCCCCAACTATGCTACTTGAAATCAAGAACTGTTTCTTCCTCATTGTTGTATACTTAGCACCCAAGTCAGTATCTGGCACATTGTGGCATTGAGGGAAGGTTGGCTCTCTTCACAGACCAAGTGATAGCAGTACTGGGGCTAGTTGACTCTAAATTGAATAGAGTAATTCCTTATAGTTCTATTTAGGGAATCTTCAAATAAAAAAGATTGAGTGAGGGCTGGCCCTGTGGCTTAGCGGTTAAGTGCGTGCGCTCTGCTGCTGGCGGCCCGGGTTCGGATCCCGGGCGCGCACGGACACACCGCTTCTCCGGCCATGCTGAGGCCGCGTCCCACATACAGCAACTAGAAGGATGTGCAGCTATGACATACAACTATCTACTGGGGCTTTGCGGGGAAAATAAATAAATAAATAAAATCTTTTAAAAAAAAAAAAAGATTGAGTGAAAGAAATCACACTGGAGGTTGAGGCGTGACAGCTTGACTCTTGAAGGCTGCTTGGGGTTTGAATGGTGAGAGAGTAGGAGATGCTTACTCTCTTCTTAGATGTCCTTTTCACAGTCTCATCTCAACTCTGTTTAAATTTTGATTTTTTTTGTTGTTGTTATAGGTTAAGAAATATCCTCTCAGTGGTTGGTACTGATGCCTTAAAAAAGACCAAAAAAGATGATGAGAAATCTAAGAAGTCCAAAGAGGAGGTAAAATATGCCTTTAATTTCATAGTATAAACATGAAGGAAATGAGAGACTAGTTCTCTCATTTTCTCTTTCCAGTGGTTTGCTTTGCTAGCATGAGGGAGGAAATGTTTTTGAAGACTCTACGTTTTAGGAGTAGTTGTTGGCAATAATTTGTGGTTCCTGTGTAGGTATGAATGGAGATTAGGGAGTTTCCCATTCAGGAGAGAGAGAACCATTGGCGTTCTTGGTGTAATTTTGAACACGGAACCAGAATCTATTCAGTAAGACCTCACAGAAAGAAACGCTATAGAAAGCACATATCCCTGATTTCATCCTATTATTGAACTAATTCGCCCTTTTTCTGCGCAGGTACAATAGGGTATTGACAGCTATGAGAGGAGCAGGGATGCTGCAGACTTAACGTTTCTGCTCTTATTTTAACTTTCAGTATCAGCAAACCTGGTACCATGAAGGACCAAACAGCCTGAAGATTGCTAGACTATGGATTGCTAATTATTCACTGCCTAGGTAAGGAGAACCTCTAGAAGGAGAAAGAAGCATGTTTTTTCTTGTTTCCTCTTAAGGACTGAAGATCTGCTTTATAATGACTGTGGTTGTAAAATGAAATTGAGTGGTAGAGATACTTGTGTAGACCCTTATCTACAACCCATTTGCTCATGGTAATCATGTTGTTTTTATGTCACAGAGCAATGAAACGCTTGGAAGAGGCCCGTCTCCATAAAGAGATTCCTGAGACAACCAGGACCTCCCAGATGCAAGAGCTGCACAAGTCTCTCCGGGTAAGATGCTCTCAGCAATTATCCACTGTCTTAAAGGTTCTTAAATATTGATTAGATTTTCTGCTTTGACCCGCCTCTAGGAAGGTAAAGGCAGCTATAATTATTTGTCTGCACTTACACTGTTGCCATTTGGGAGGAGCCACCAGTGAAGGTGGCAGGAATCTGCTGTAGTTTGTACTCAGCAGAGGCCTATGGTTCTGCTCTTTAATTCTTCTTTTTGATATGTCAAAGCTATACTTTAGATCTCTCCACGCTTTTCCTGTTTATATTTAGCTGACACAGAAGCTAGTGGTTCTAAGACTAGAAGACAGCATGCTGGAGTTCTAGATGAGCCTTGACTCCATTCATTCATCAATATAAGTGTCTCCTAACAAAAATAGTATAAAAGAATCTTGAGTTGATTAAAACTGTAAAGTTGCTTTTTTATGGTGGAAAAGCCAAGAAACTCTTGGATTAGCCTATTAATGATCACGTTTATCTTTCTTTTTTTTGTCTTTAAGTCTTTGAATAATTTTTGCAGTCAGATTGGGGATGATCGGCCTATCTCCTACTGTCACTTTAGTCCCAATTCCAAAATGCTGGCCACAGCTTGCTGGTAAGTCCCATGTTACAGTGACTTTTTTTCCTAAATGGGGGACTGTTCACAAGAGACCCCAGAGATCCATGACATGTAGCAGTCTGTCGCGTTCTTGACACTAGCAATTTGGAATGGGTCATACAGTTGGCTTATAGACTAACTACTATCCACACCTGAATATAGCTTTCCTTTTTTGGTTGTGTGACCTAGGCGAGATACTTCATCTCTGCCGGCTTCAGTTTCCTCATCTGTAAGTAGGATGAGATAATGTCGGTAAAGCATTTTGCCTTCATAATGCCTGGTATGTGGTAAGGACTCAGTAAACATAATATAAATTAGTGTTTTTATCTTTATTTTTAGTTATTTTTATTTATTTTCTACTTAGCACCACATATGCAGAAAACTCTTAGGTTGTGATAACTTTGTTGTTTTGTTCTATTTAGTTATTGAGTTAGTTTTGTGGGACCTGGCATCTAGTCAGGGGGAACTTCCCTACATTATATCCACGAGAACTACTTGACTAGGCAGAAATTGAGACTGGTTCAGGAGAAAGCCGGTCCCTCCACTTCCCCAAGCTTCAGTTACCTTCATTTTAAAGTAGAAATGATCGTTCCTGCTTTATGTACCTCACAGGTCTGTTATAAGGATTATTTGAGATGATAGATAAAAAAGTAATTGGTTGGAAATTTTCCAGAATAAGTCTTTTTAAAAAATTTACTTTGTAAGCAGTAAAATGCTATTCATGTTTAAGGAGATAGTGTCATTATTAATATTACTATTATTAGATAGTTTAATTTGTCCTACCTTCCTTCACAAATTGATCCAAAAGTTGAGGAGAAGAGCAACTTGTGCTATATTAATTATAGTCCATTGGAGGCCTCTGGTTGCTTGAAACCTGGTTGTAGCTTTCTCCTGTTACCTTTCAAATGATAAGCCTTTTACTTTTATTTTTCTGTCTGCCACTGTAAAGTTTATTGGGGGTGAGAAGAGATTGTCCTTTAGTAATGTTACCAAGGTACCTTTTCCTTCCCAGAGCAACCCTGGCTGAGATGCTTTCCTTTGTATTTGATAGGAGTGGGCTTTGCAAGCTCTGGTCTGTTCCTGATTGCAACCTTCTTCACACTCTTCGAGGTGAGTTGGAATCTTGTTTAAATCTCAGTCTTTTTCCCAGTGTGAACTCTGTCAAGGAGTAAAACTCTAAAACTCTGCCTGACTCGCAGATCCAGTACACGCAAGATTAAATCTTGATTTGACGTGACTTGGTTTGGTTTTCTCTGACTGCAACGCTGGAAGATGATAACGTCATACACATACCACTTTTCTCCCAGGTCCAGCCCCACTCTGGCATTTTACAATCCCTAAGTCAAAAAACAAAGTGTGTTTGTGTTTTGGTTTTTTTAACGTAATTTAAATATTAGTTTAAATTAAAATAGTTCATTTTTTTAAGTAGTCAAATAGTTACTTTAATATTATTCTCCATATGTCCACATGTTCTCTAATATATGTCTACATTATTCCTCATAGTCTGTGTTTGCACATAAGTTATAAGGGGGCAGGAGCCCTTTAACTTTCATCTCTTAAACTCTTTCAGGCCATAACACAAATGTAGGAGCAATTGTATTCCATCCGAAATCCACTGTCTCCTTGGACCAAAAAGATGTCAATCTGGCCTCCTGTGCTGCTGATGGTTCTGTGAAGCTTTGGAGCCTTGACAGGTGACTATTACTACTGTTCTGTCCATACTGCGGTCACTGAATTAAATAGGTGATTGGCCCTTGGGAGTTGAAAAAACTGGCGTTTAACCCCAGAAATGCTGTAAGAGTCAAAGTATAACTTGGACTAAAAACAGAATGGAGGAGGGTCGGCCCCGTGGCGTAGCGGTTAAGTGCGAGTGCTCCGCTGCTGGCAGCCCGCGTTCGGATCCCAGGCGTGTACCCACGTACCACTTGTCAGGCCATGCTGTGGCAGTGTCCCACATAAAGTGGAGGAAGGTCGGCATGGGTGTTAGCTCAGGGCTAGTCTTCCTCAGCAAAAAGAGGAGGATTGGTGTGGATGTTAGGTCAGGGCTGATCTTCCTCAAAACAAACACAGAATGGAGGATTTCTTTTTCTTTTTCTTTTTCTTTTTGAGGAAGATTGGCCCTGAGCTAACATCTGTTGTCAATCTTCCTCTTTTCTTTCCGTTTTTTCTCTGCAAAGCCCCAGTACATTGTTTTATATCATAGTTGTAGAGTTGGAGCTCTTCTATGTGGGACGCAGCCTCAGCGTGACTTGATGAGCTATGAGTAGGTCTGCGCCCAGGATCCGAACCGGCGAACCCCAGGCCACCGAAGCAGAATGCGCAAACTTAACCACTACACCACCGGGCCTGCCTGCTGGAGGATTTCTTTCTTAGACCTTTTCTCACCAGAGGAGTTGTCAGGTCTTTCTTATTTGTTAACTTTGGACCTTGATTTTTGCCTGTAACGTAGTGGCCACTGTTTCCCGGCTCCAGTTATTCTGGAAAGATCCATTCTACCTCCTATGCAATGGATTTGATGTTGGAAATTGACTAAAGATAATATTCCTGGCAGCACGTTGGTTCTTAGCAAACAGCCACAGGGGAGAGGAAAGTGAGGTCTATCTGGCAGTATTGCCAAGGAAGAGATGTCTCCTCCCAGCAGCGTCATCCTTTACCTAGACTATTTTCCAATTACAACTTTTTTTTTTAACGTGTTTGTGATTATTGTTTTCTGAGAAATTTTTGGAAGCACCTTGTTGGCTAAAAGACATCTGAATTCAGTTGCTTAGTTTTCTTTCTTTAGGAAAGCGCGTGAGGCTGTTGTTCCAGGGTTTTGTGAAGAGCTAATTAGTGTCTCCACTCTGGCAGACAAGGGCTTACCTGTGAGCGCAGCAAGTTTTAATTGGCCTTGGTAATACTTAGCGGTATTTGTTCCCCTAGGACTTCGATTAGTTCTGTGTACGCACATTGACAAAGTTCCCTTTTTAATTGCCCTCTTTAGGGTTCATGTTTATTTCCTCTCGCTGGTGTTTCAGATCTTCTTTCTGTGGTTGCTGTGCAGTAGAATTGAATGGCCACCGGACGGAAGCTAAGTGTCTGTCTATTTAGGAGTTCCTTTTTCCATGCAGATCCTGAATAAGCTAAAGTTTGAGAAAGGTTTATCTATAATCCACTTGAACCAAAACTGTGATTTTTGTAGCCTCACATCTCTATGAAAGTGTATTTTCTTTCTAGAATCCCAGCACTGCTTTGGTGCAGAGAGACTATTTTGCTTCTCAGGCTAGAGTATTTTGTTTTTCTCTAGTCCTAAGTAGTGTATAGCATTAAGAGTTTATTAAGTTTTTGAATTGAGGCAGAAAGACAGTGTTTATTGAAGTGCTGTGGACAGTTTTGCCCTGAGGGCACATGAAATAGTCCCAAATCTTTTAAAACCTTGAGGAGAGACTTAAATTATTGTTAGCCCTAAAGTTTTAACAAATTACAAGTTTAGTTACAAGTTGGCTTCTCAGTGGTACAGAATGGGTGTGTCTCTGTCCAACAGTTAATAAATTCAATGAATATTTCCATGAGTATGAAATAGTTTAGTCACGTTTGATTCCTTTTCAGTGATGAACCAGTGGCAGACATCGAAGGCCATACGGTGCGCGTGGCCCGTGTAATGTGGCATCCCTCAGGACGTTTCTTGGGCACCACCTGGTAAGCCATCCTGTTGCTGTTCTGTCTGTACCGCCTGTGGCCTCTTGTTAACCCTTTATGGCTCTCTGCCAGGTAAATTTTTAGAGCAAAGATCTTCAGGTCTTTTCTTGGACTGCACTGAGTCAGAATCAGAAGAGTATGTGGCATAGTGAGGGCTAAGCATGTTTGCTTGTAAATTGAAATTAATCGAAATTTCAAAATCACTAATGGCCAGAAAACTAGGATTTTCACCCTTTCTTCTCTTTCTTGACCAATATTAGAGGTGTATATTTTTTTTTTGACTACACATTGTATTATCATCTTTCTGCTCACAAATCGATCTCCCTTTCTTGTTCTGAAAGTTCGTTGAGGCTAGAATCTGTTAAAGAACTTTTTAATTGCAGTATAATTTACTTGCAGTGGAATGGATTTATTTTCAGTGTGCAGTTCAGTTAGTCTTGACAGATGCATGCACTCACGTGACCCACATTCCTGTATTATTGAATTGTTTGACTGTGCCGCAGTTTATTTATCCATTCTCTTACTGACGGACGCTTGGGCTGTTTCCAGGTTTTGGTTAGTCAGAGTAAAGCTACTATAAATATTCTTGTACAGTGCTTTTTGTGGACATGTTTTTCTTTCCTTTCTCTTGAATAAATACCTAGGAATGCAATTGCTAGGTCATAGGGTAGGTGTCTGTTTAACGTTTTAAAACTTCCAAGTGGTTTTCTAAAGTGGTTGTACCGTTTTACATTCCCAAAATTTTGGTTGCTTCGTATCCTTGCTAACATTTGGTGTTGTCAATCTTATCATTTTGCCCAGTCTAGCAAATGTGTGTAGTGAAATCTCATGGTTTTCTTTCTTTTTTTTTTTTTTTTTTTTTTTTTTTTAATTTTTTTTTTTTTTTTTTTTTTCCCCCCAAAGCCCCAGTGGATAGTTGTGTGTCGTAGCTGCACATCCTTCTAGTTGCTGTATGTGGGACTCGGCCTCAGGATGAACGGAGAAGTGGTGCCTC